AGCACATGTGTAAGGGCAAAATCAGTGGGTGGTGAGAGTGATCCAAGGCTGTGGCTTGACAGGGATAAAAATCACCAATATAATAAGGAGGCCAAGGACTCAAGAGAAAAAAAAAAAACAGTACAGGATTAAACTGATTCACCAGGAGTCAAGATGAGGAAAGAAGGAAAAAGTGGCAATCGCCATATGAGAGACCTTGTAGGTCAAAGGATTGGAGGTCTTGGTGAGAAGGCAGAGAAAGAGGTGGAAAGCCAATAGATTATGATCAGGTAAGGGAATTTCAGAGTTTTTGAATATGGAGGTGGTGCTCTTTTGAGTGATGGCAAGGTCAAGAGTATGACCATCTATTGTATAGCTGAGATGGGGTGGAGGAAAAGGTTACGGGGAGTGAGTAGGTTGAAGACCTAGGAGGGTATTTGAGTGAAGATGTCAGTATGCGTGTTGAAGCCCCCTAGTGTGACCACAGGAGTTGTATGGAAGAGAAATATTGTGCCAGGTACTGAGCTTGTTGAGGAAGGGGCGGGGTGCCTTAGAGGTCTGTAGATAACAGCTACCAGTATTTTGATTGAGTAGAAGATATAGATTATATGGACTTCAGAATTCAATTTGAGACATTGTTTTAAAGTTATTTGGAGGGGAATATTATGAAAGTTTGTCTGAGTGCTTCCTCTACTCTGTCATCTTGACTCCACCTCTGCCAGGTAGATGTTAATGATTAAGTTCCACTGATCTGTCTATTTTTAACAAATACAAGATGATTTTTAATGACAACTGCTTTGTAATATAATTAGAGGTATGGAAGTACTATTCTCCCTTCATCTCTCTCTTTTTTTCATGATTTCCCTGATATTCTAGAACTTTTATTTTCCAAATAAATTTTATTTTTCAAGTTCTGTAGGGCCCTACCTGTGGCTTAGGAGTAGAGAAAAGAGGCCAAGGTTGGGCCCTAAGACAGACCTCAGAAAATAACAGTAAAAAGGACCTGAGGCATGGGGCATCATTCCCCATACCTTGGGACTACAACTTGATTACACAAATAGCTGCTAAAAACAAAAAAAGAGTGACTCCTTTTTCATTGAGAAATGTCAAATGCTCCCAAGCACAAAAAGAGTTCTTGGAAAAGTGGACTATAAAAATCAAATAAGAGAGATCAAGGGAAAATTAGAAAAAAAAATAAGAGCAATCCAAGAAAATCAAGAAAATTATGAAAAAAAAGTCAACCAACTGGAAATAGAGAATCCAAAACTTAAGGAAGAAAATAATTCCTTGAAAACTAGAACTGGGCAAGGGGAAGCTAATGGCATTCTAAGACACCAAGAAATCATAAAACAAAATCAAAAGAATGGAAAAATAGAAGAGAAAGTGAAACATCTCATCAGAAAAACAACTGATCTGGAGAACAGATCAAGGAGAAATAATATAAGAATAGTCAGACTGCCTGAAAATTACAATAAAAAAGAATCTTGATACAACATTATAAGAAATTATCAAGGAAAATTGCCTTGAAGTTGTAAAACAAGAAGGCAAAGTAGAAATAGAAAAAAAAAAATCCACCAATCACTACCTGAAACAGATCCCAAGAGGAAAATTTACAGAAATATCTTAGCCAAGTTTCAAAGCTCCTAGATTAAGGAGAAAACATTGGAAGCAACAAGGAAAAAAAACCAATTTAAATATCATGGAGCTACAATAAGGATTACACAAGACCTAGCAGCTACTAGGTTGAAGGACCATAGATCTTGAAATACTATATGCCATAGAGCAAAAGACTTGCGGTTACAACCAAGGGTAACTTAGCTAGCAAAGTTAAGTATAATCCTGAATGAAAAAAAAAAAAAGGACATTGAACGAATTTAAAGACTTTGTGATAAAACCCCCCCTAACTTAAGGGAAAATTCAACATATAACATCCAAGAGAAATGCAAGGTAAACATTAAAGATCAATTATAAGGGACTCAATAAGATCAAATTGTTTACTTCATACATATGAAAATATTATCAGTACTCTTATGATTGTCATTATTTGGGTAGTTTGAAAGAAAGGTGTGGGCTGAGTTGACTATGATGGGGTGAGTCTTAAAAAAATAAAACTGTAGGGAGAGATAAAAAGGAGCAATTATCTCATACAAATGAGACCTAAAAGGAAAAATTGATACAGAAGAAGCTAGTAAGGGGGAGAACAGGTAGTGCTGGAACCTTACTTTCACTAAGAACGGGTTAAAGAGGTAACACACATATATCTCGAAGGGTATAAAAGTCTTCTAAATTCAGAAAGAAATAAAAGGGCAAGGGGATAGTGTGGGAGGAGAGGATAAAGGAAGGACTCTTAGAGGGGTGGGTAGATTAAGGAATAGGAGGGTAAAGTGCAGTGGGTAGAAGTAAAGCAAAAGAGTAAGGAGGGATAGGGTAAATAGGGTGAGAAGGATAGTGAGGAAAAATAGGAAGGAGGAAAATACACAACAAGTAATTGTAGCTTAGAATGTGAATGGGACAAATTTACCCATAAAACAGAAATGGATAACAGATTAAAAATTTTCATTCAACAGTATGTTGCTTTCAGGAAGCATTATAAAAATGAGAGATGCACACAAAGATAAAATAAAGGGCAAGAGTAGAATTTAGTATGTAAAAAAAAAAAGCAGGGATAGTAATCAAGATCTCAGACAAAGTTAAAGTTAAAATAGATTTAATCAAAAGTGAAAAATAGAGAAACTACACTAGGTGTCAGCAATATTATTCAACATCATTTTAGACCATTCAAAATACCTAGACAGTATAAAATACCTGAGTGTATACCTGCCAAAACAGACACAAGAACCATATGAACATAAACATAAACCACTTTTTATGTAAATAAACTCAGATCTAAATAACTGAAATAATATTTATTATTCATGGGTAAGTAAAGCTATATATATATATATATATATATATATAATTTATTTATTTTTGGGTGAGGCAATCGGGGTTAAGTGACTTGCCCAGGGTCACACAGCTAGTAAGTGTCATGTGTCTGAGACTGGATTTGAACTCATGTCCTCCTGACTTCAAGGCCAGAGCTACATCCAATGCGCCACCTAGCGGCCCCAATTATAATTTTTTAAATGACAATTTTACCTAACTAATTTATTTATTCAATGTCATCCCAATTAAATTACTAAAAATTATTTTACTGAGAAAAAATAATAACAAAGTTCATTTGACAGAATGAAAGGTCAGGAACTTCAAAGAGACCAAGAAAAAAAGATCTAAAGGAAATAGTTTCAGCAATGTCAGACCTTAAACTATATTATAAGGTGAGAGCATTGTTGAAGTGTAAAAAGGATAATTTTGATTATTGTAAATTAAAATTTTCTGGTATTAATAAAACTGATGTAGCCAAGAACAGAAGGAGTTGAGAAAAAACTTTCACAGACAATCTCTCAGATAGGATGTGATTGAGTTGGAATACTGCTGTAGGAAATGATGAGCTGGTTGATTTAGAAAAACATGGAAAGGCTTAGACTTATGAAGAAAGATGCTATCCACCTTCAGAGAAACAAATGATAGGAGGAAATACGCATAATATAGTCTTATATATAAGTGCTTGTGTATAAGTGTATATGTGTGTATGTAGGTTTATAGATAATGTGTTCTTTGGGAGGGGGGATATTGGTGGAAATAAAGTAAAAAGTACACAGCAGAGAACAAAAACAAACAAACAAGGAAGCAAAGAAAAGCTGGGCAGCTTTGAAAACAACATGTAGTATTGCTTATATAGGTTTTCTTGAAATGGAAATTTATTGTTTTATACTGAAATCTCTCTTACGGTCTGCTGTGTACATGGCAATTTTCACCCCTCATTTTGTATTTAAATTTACAATAAAAAATATACCAAAAAAAAAACCCACTTTTGAATCTGTACAAGTATTTTATAGCTTTGGTAGACTGATTTCCTGATACCTTATGCATTTTGTAGTTATTTGGAATTAGGTTTCCCTTTATATTGTTGCCTTGACTTTTGTTATATATATATATGTATATATACACATATGTATATATGTACACATCTGTATATATACATATATGTAATGTAATATATTTATTACATAGAAATGTTATTTTTGAAAAGTATTTTTCTACAAGGCCCAAGTAGAAGCTATTGTCTTAATTAGTATCATTGCTGATTTCCTAGGATTTTCTAAGTAAACTATCAGTAAATAGGGGTAGTTTTCTATTTTTTACCTATCTTTATGCCTTTATGTTCTTTCTCTTATCTTATTACTATTGCCAGCATTTCTAGAACCATGTCAAAATATACATGCGTGTCTGTGTGTGTATATGTATAGTAAGGTTCTAGTATATCTCTTGTATATGATGCTTGCTTTTGGTTTTAGATATTTCTGTGATATTAAAAAAGTTGCTTTATGCCTATATTTTGCAGGGGTTTTAGTATAAATGGGTGTTGTGCTTTCTCAAAACAGTTTTTTTTTTAAATTTATTGAAATAATTGTGAGTTTCTTTATTGTTTTGTTTTTAATATGATTAAGTTGATTGTTTTTCGAATATTGGACTATTCTTATATCTCTGTTATAAATACAGCTTGGTCATGGTCAATTACTTCTTTGATGAATCTTTCAGAATTCTATTTAAATTTTTTGAATTTATTTTTATTAATGATATTACCCAATAGTTCTCCTTTACTTTATTCTTTGGTTTAGGTATTAGGATTATATTTTTATCATAAAAGAACCTAGTAGGGTGATTTCCTTCCCAATTTTTGCGGATTGGCTCACTGGTTCAAGCCAGGGGAAGGCGGCTTACAGGGAGGGCTGGCAGGTGGCAGGCAGGCTCCCCTCGGGGGATCGTTGGGCGGACTTCTCAGGGGATCGTTGGCCTGAGCTCAGCGGGAGATGGTTCTGACCAGGCAGCTCGCCATTTGAGATAGGGGTGCCCACCACTTGGGAACCGAGCCGTCAGGGAAGGAAGAAGAGAGGAGTCTAAGCTTGTCCTGGTGCGGAATGTCCCGACAGGTGGAGGAAGAGAGAAGTTTGGCGCTTGCCCAGAGATGGCCCAAAACAAGCACATTCATACTGTCGTCCTTCGCGTCTATCGTGGCCGAGATATCAACCTTTCCTCTTGAACTCACAAAAACTCGACTCCAGATGCAAGGAGAAGCTGCACTTAACCGTAACCGTTTTTTCAAAGACAGTACCCCCTACCGGGGCATGATAAAGACAACCATTGGCATCATACAGGAGGAAGGCTTTCTAAAGCTTTGGCAAGGAGGAATATCTGCAATTTATAGACAAGTAGTGTATTCTGGGTTCCGAATGGTCATCTATGAATATCTTCGTGACTCTGTTTTTGGGAAATCCGAAAATAACATATTTCCTCTTTGGCAATCAGTCATAGGAGGAACATTGTCTGGTGCATTGGCTCAGTTTTTTTGTACCCCTGCTGATCTGGTGAAGGTTCAAATGCAGATGGAAGGAATAAGGAAACTCCAAGGAAAGCCTTTACGATTTCATGGTGTGCATCAAGCCTTTCTAAAAATCTTGAAAGAGGGAGGAATGCGTGGCCTTTGGGTAGGCTGGGTGCCAAACGTCCAGAGAGCTGCCTTGGTGAACATGGGAGATTTAGTCACTTATGATTCAGTGAAGCGCTTGTTATTATTGAACACATCACTTGAAGACAATGTAATGACTCATGGCTTGGCAAGTATAAGCTCTGGACTGGTAGCTTGTGTTCTGGGAACACCAGCTGATGTCATCAAAAGCCGAGTGATGAATCAACCAACAGATGAAAAAGGAAGGGGACTGCTGTATAGGTCTTCAACTGACTGCTTGATTCAGAGTGTAAAAGGTGAAGGATTTCTGAGTCTATATAAAGGCTTTTTACCAGGTTGGCTGAGAATGATACCTTGGTCAATGGTATTCTGGCTTACTTATGAAAAAATCAGATTTCTGAGTGGAGTTGATCCATTTTAAGACTTTAAAAAACATATACATTCAACATCATTAAAATGTTGGTATTCACAGAGTATACCTAGTGCTATTACTACTTCTTCAGGAAGACACTGTTTCATCAAAAATGTACGTTTTTGGGTGGCAGCCCTAAATTTTCCTTCTTAAGATCCAAGTGTCCTTGACCCCTTCTCTTATTCCAGGAAAGGCTCTATGTATATCAGAATGTTACCTAATGAGCTCCAGCACAGCACTTTCTAAAGAAGAGTCTCATCCTGGACCCTGACCACCCACAACATGGGATCTAGTCTCTGGGACACTCAGATGGATGCAGCTTCAAGGAGTCCTAGTGATGAAGCAGCTGCTCAGGCTGGAAATACGTGCTGGAACATAAAAGAAAGCATGTGTCTCACCTGAAATGTACATTGCCAGGGAAGTCAGTCTTCTTAGCAATTAAAGTTTGAAAATGCACTTTAAAAAAATGAGATGGATGAAAAAGGTGATGAATAGAGATGCTGAGTTTCTTAAATGTAGGATGGAGTTGATGAATCTTTTTCTCCTAGAAGAAAGACAAGGATGAAAACTGATTTTGAAAACTACTATTACTTCAACAGCAAACAGATCTGCCTTGAATAGCCAAAATTCTATCACAAAAGTTGATGAATTGTAGTATCTGGAGAAGTAGCAAATAAAGAAAAACAGTCTTGAGGAGAACAAATGAAAGGCCACCCTGGCTTATGTCCTATTTAAATTTTAAACTATTCTATAACTCTAAGACCTTTTATTCTTTATGGTTAATTACTGGATTTTTACATGTTAACTAAAGCTTATCTGTGTATGTTCTTTTTTTCTCCTTTTTTTCTGATCAGCCCTTCAAAGGTATTTACAAACCAAGGCTGCCATTGGAAATAAGTCAGAGTTGGGATGGCATTGACTTCTACTCAGAGACACCGTAGATAACTAAAAAAAAGTTGGCTATCATTCTAGCTAGGGTCTCATAATTTGACCAGGTCTTTTATGAAATAGTAAACTGACTTATGTTCATGGCTAATAACCCACAATGGCATTCTCTCTTTTTCAGTAAGATTTTTGCTGACCTATGGAATGCTCTTTTACCCATTGCTCCTTAAGGAAGTAACATCATAATCATGGAACAAAACAAAACCTAAAATGGAATCGGAGTCACAATTCTGACCTTGTTATGATGGTTCTGTAAACACCTGAGCTAACCAGCCATAATGATGATAAGTTCGTATGAGGCTGGCCACATTTGGGATCCTATGATCAGTTAAATACTAAAAGATTTACCAATAGTATGATGATAGCATTTATATGTAATCAGCGCCTTTTTACAGAAGTCCTATCTATTGTCTCTGGTCTCCAATTTTATGCCTCTTGGGGTTTTCTAGTAGTATATAGTCAGTTGCAGAATGAGAACTTTTCTTTTCTTTAGATTTTTAGATGACCTAAATTTACATGGCTTTTGTCACAATTGGTTCAAATGAATTGGGTTAAAACATTTAACAAAATGTACATATAAATTCCTAAGGGTCTGAACCTGAAATAGTTGGGGTATTTTAGCTCTTTATGACTTGTGATTTCTTAAGTCAAAACCACGAAAGTTTTGCTAATTTAATCTCAGGTGTACTGAATGAAGACTAAAAATTTTAGTCAGCTTTATTCTTTGGTCATTATCAAGAACTAACAGTAATGTTTAGTGTCTATCTCGAACATATAGATGATTCACAGTAAATCAAAGTGACCATACTTTTTATTGTCTTGCCCATGTTCATTTAGACATAAACAAGTTCTTGCTCCTTTATCCTTCACAATCTCAGATTTTTACTACCATGTTACATAATAGCAAATGTTTAGAATATCTATCATCCTTCACGTTTTTATTTTTAATCCATTTTAATTTCTTCTCCAACTTGGTAAATTGTAATAAGTCTTTTCTTAAATACAGTGCTCTTTTAACATGGATTCACTTCTGTGAAATGAGATTTCTTAAATCTTTCTGTAGATAAAAAAATGTTTTTACCTTCTTCAGGTATTTGATATGCTTGTATTCTGTCTTTCCATTTAATTGGAAACCCCTTGAGGGTGGGAACTGATCTTCTGTTTTGTTTTGTTTTTTAATATTTCTATGTTATCCTCATTATACCTTTAAATAGTTCTGCAGTTGGAAATGTTCAGCAGATATTATTGGCTAGTTAGTTAAAGCTCAATTTTTTGGTGTTCCTTGATTCAGGAATTTGTGATAATCCTGTCAGGCTGGGCTGAAATGTAGAGCAGCCAAATTGTATAGAACCTGTGGGATAATGGGGATAGCTGAGCAAATCCAAAATAAGATGCAAACTTAAACTACAGAAAAAATTTGAACTTTTTAAACACCAGCAGGATGCATATAGCTGAGAGGCAAATTACCAACCATTAATATGTATCCATCCCCCCAGGAACTCTTCTAGAACAACTTACCCAATTGTTTTATGTAATTGAGAATAAAAAAAAAACTTTTGAAAAATGTGGCATAATTTAAATTCTTCATACATTCAGGCAGTTCTTGACATCATTTGGCCTAAATCTGTGAGCTCTTAGGTAAATACTAGATAGCTGTATTTTCAATCTTTTATGTTCCCTTAGGAACTTTGATTTGTTACAACTGAAAGACACTTCATAGGGTGAAATAATTAGAATTTGGGGAGATTTCTCTTTCTTTTTTTTTCTCCTGGAATTTAAGGTTCATTTTATCTCATTCATTTCATGATATGAGGAGAATGATCAGCTGATAAAGATTTTTTTTTTCAAATGCAGGTCAAATATTTCAATTGGCTAATGTTCCTTATGTGCACAATTAGAATGCTTGATATTTTTCTCGTTTCAAGTTTCATTTTCTCTCTTTAAATATAATGACTTTTATGATGTTAATCACACTCTTATTCCAGTGTGTTTAATGGGATAAAGTTTAGCAGTTAGCATACCCATGCTCTGAAGATCATACTTTATTTTTCTACTTGTTTTAAATAAAACTAAGTTATAATGCCAAAAAAGAAAATAATTTGTGTAGTACTGGAAGTTTTAGTGTCCTTTAAAAGTTTAATAGAACTCTCTTGTGAATCCATTATGATCCTCAGTCCACTGGCTGAGTTCTGCTGTAGCAAAGAGCACTGCCATCCTGCTGTGCTATTCAGAGAAAGCTTCTACATTTTTTGTTTTCTACAGCCTTGGGAGAGGGGAAGGGTAGAATTGAGTTCTGTCGAAGGCCTCTGGATCTACTTGTACAACCTTGCCTGAACAGTAATAGAAGGGATGCTGAGGTTTGGGATTACCCTTCTCTGCTATTAGTTTATCAGGTTTTTACCTTGCTTGAGTTCTTGGTGCCCTTAGAGATAGCTAAAACAGCTTCATCTATTGAGCATAATTTGTATTTTCAAGAAGTGGGGGGGGGGTCATGAGAATTATAGAAAATGATTCATCCTTCATCTTATTGGTCTCATGATTCAAAAGTCAATATGTACACGTTAAAGAAAAGCACTTTAAAATTTTAAAGTCTCTTTCTCTCTCTTCTCTTCTCTTCTCTTCTCTTCTCTTCTCTTCTCTTCTCTTCTCTTCTCTTCTCTTCTCTTCTCTTCTCTTCTCTTCTCTTCTCTTCTCTTCCCTTCCCTTCCCTTCCCTTCCCTTCTCTTCTCCTATTCTCTCTCTTTCTCACACACACACACACACACACACACACACACACACACAGGAATAAGTGTCTTCATCCCACTAGGAGATTCAAGGGAACATAGGATAGAAAAGAGGAAATCAAGATAGTATTTTATGAGCAAAGATTTAGAACTGTAGGGGATCTTAGAAGCCATCTGCTCCAAACTTATTTTACAGATGAGGAAACTGAGACCCAGAAAGCCTTTACTTGTTAGACCAGTGGCTGCTCCTACTCTTACTTACTGTATATCATTGAGACTATAGGGATCAGAATACTGATGGCTGCTGCTCCCAAAAGGACCAAGTGCCTCTAAGGTCCTACACCACAAAGTTACTTCTTCAGGGGCCAAGACCAGTATTCTGTAAGGAGTGACCACCAGGACAATATAGTCACTTGCCTTCTTTCATGAAGCTACAGTCAAACACTGTTAACTCCACCTAGACTCACCCCCCAATAGTTATCACTTTCTCATCCCCTCTTGCCCTCTACAATCCTGAGATACTGAATCTCAGAGTAGAGAGAGCATAGATCATTCTTTCACCCCCATCAACCTCAATACTAGCCTCATCTACAATGCCGCAAACCAAATCTGCCCACCATCCCTCCAGTGGTCTTTAGAATGATTGATCCTTTCATTGTAGAACTCTTCTTCTCATATTCCTTCCATGTCTGTCCTCACTGAGGCCTAATTCCTCTTGAATGACATTGTATCCCAAGTCTTCCTTTCTAGCAGCACCTCATACCTTCAACTACCCCTTCTAGACTCTTCCTCTACTATCACTCAGCAACATCACCCCTTTAAGATTCACAATGTCAAAATGTGTTACCCAATCTAGATCCTGATAGCTGTTATCTACCAACTCCTAAAACATGCTCTCTCCTTTCTAACTGAATTTAGAACCTGCCTCAGAGTATCCCTCTCAACCCCCCAGGCCATCTCCAGTCATCCTGATCTATATCTTGTCACTGGACCCAGATGGCTCCAGAGGAGAAAGTGAGGCTGGTGACCTTCCACAGCCCTCCCTCACTTAAATCCAATTCACTTGCAAGCCATGGCATCACCTTCCTGTTGTCATGGTCCTCTTTGAGAACGAAGGACCAACAACATCCCTCTCAATCCAAGCTTCTTCCTCTTAATTCTTTAACACACGTGTTGATATTCCTCCCTAAAATTCCCTGACCTTCCAGTTGTATAATCTGTTCAGCACTCATACCCTATTCCTCCACATCATCTCAGCTATACTCCAAAATGGTAACTCATGATCTTGCTATCACCCATAAGTGATCCACCTCCATAATTAAGAATTTAGGAGTCCTC